GCAACGTATTTTGCGAGGGATCGTGCAGCGCAACGTACGAGGGATCCTCAAGCAACCTGATCAGTTCGGACTCCTCTGGAAATTACAGAACTCCTCAAGAATCAGAAAAGCCTTAAGTAAATCTTGAGGCACCTTCGGGAATGATCACGAATCCTCCAGAAATAAGCAGCAACCAGCAGGAATCCTCAGGAGTCAGGAGTCTGCAGGAATCTAGAAGAATCCTTCGGGATCCTGAGAAGCCCGACAGATCCCCCAGGAACGGCATGAAAACTCAGAATCCCTTACAAGAATCTTCAGGCATCCTTCAGCAACCTGGAGGAGACTTATTGAAATTACACAGGAGTCAGGGTCCCACGGCCGCGATCCCTCGTACATTTGCGCTGCGTCCGCGTTCCCAGGGCCCGTGCTCTCAAGGCCACGCTCCTTCGCGAATGATGATTCCTGCAATGTGTGGATTACCCTGCGCCCGCGCTCCCAGGGTCAGGAGCCCTGGTGAATTACGCTGCGTCCGCCCCCCCCCCCCCGAGGATACGGGCCTATGTACATTACGCTGCGCCCCCGCTTCCAGGGACAAGGCCTCGGAAAGTGGGCGACGCCCGCGCTCCCAGGGCCGCGATCCCACGCAAGCTGCGCTCTGCCACCCCTTCACAGGGCCAGGATCCATTGCAAATGACCTTCTGTCCCCGCCCCCCCCCCAAGGCCAGGACGCCCAATACGATACGCTGCGCCCACGCTCCCAAGCCCAAGACCCGCCATACGTTACGCGGCGGCCGCGGTCCCACAACCACGACCTCTGGTACGTAGCGGAGCTCCCACGCTCCCAGAACGACCTGGGCATCCTGGGGCGCCGAAGCGAAACCCCGCGAGTGCTGCAGCGCATGCGCTTCGCTCGAGACATCCTGGAGGCCCCTGCGCGCAAGACGCACCAGGAAACCCCGAGGGCGCCTCGAGGAGCCCGTGAAGAACCCTCAGGCATCCTCCAGGAGCCGGCAGTAAACCTGCAGGAGTCTCCAGGACGCCTTCTGGAACCTCACAGGGATCCGTTGGGCTCCTAGAGAATCCGACGGGTCTGCCAGGTATTCAATGAAGCCTCACGAATATTGCGGGAATATCCGAGGACCCTTCAGCAAACGGCAGGAGTCCGCAGGAATCCTCTTGGAATCCGATCGTGAGCGCCATGATGAATTGATGGACCTTGGGGGTGTGAAGGGCGAATGCCCAAGAATCCTCGAATCTTTCAGGAAGCCGCAAGAACCTTCACAAACCCTGAAAGAATTGGAAAGGGATGTTCAGGAATTGTTCAGGAATCGGCACGACTCCCCAAGAATCCGTCAGGGACCACCGCGCATTCCTCAAGAATCTTCAAGAGTCCGCACCAGGAACCCCCAGGAGTCCGAGGGGAACCTCACACATCCTCCAGGACACGGGAGAAACTCTGTTTTATGGAATTTCGGGCGTCCAGCAGGAATCCGCCAGGACCCCCAGGAATCTTTCAGACATCCTGCAAGAATTGCAAATCCTTAGGAATCGGCAGGAATCCCCAGGCGTCCGCAGCATGAGTGCGCAGGAATCTTCGAGGGTCCTCACAAATCGTCTAAAAACTCCTGGGAGAAATTTATGGAATCCACTGGGAATACGAAGGACCCCCAAGAACCCTCTCAAGCACCCTCAGGAATCCACACGAACCCACACGGTACCGAAATAGATTGGGAACCCGCAGGAATCAACAAGAATCCTCCCGGAATCCTTCTGGAATCCTCAGGGCAACACGGCCGCGCAAGTCACGATTCCTTTTCCTCCTCCTCCTGCTCCTCCTCCTCCGCCTCCTCCTTCTCCCGCCTTCTCCGCTCCTCCCAAGACTACCTAACGATATGCCACATGCCCCTTCGCTGGACGACCAATTCCCACAGTCAGCTGTGGACGGAAGAGGAGGAGAAAGACCTGAGACAGCCATTCCCCGGACCTCTCCCCGGGTGCGTTCTGACCAGAAGCTCGAGGCCACGAGTGCCGTGGCGACGAGCGCCCCCCTCTCGAGGACCAAGTAGGCGAAAACGAGGCAAGGGCAACGGCATCGGGACCCCTTCCCTCTCGGGTCCCCCTCCCCTCCCTCCTCTCCTTCTCGCTCCTCCCCTCGACCCTTGCAGGCCCTAGCAGGGCTGCAGGCCCGCTGGGACCAGCCGGTGCCCCGCGTGCAGGGGCTGGGTGTAATACGCCGGGCCGCTTGCCGGCTGCGGGCCCGCCTGAACGGCCCGGTCGCCGCGGGCTCCGGCCGCTGGGGAGGAGATCGGGGGCGTCCAAGAGAGGGGGGCGCAAATCATGGCCGGCGGCACGTGCGCGGCCCAGGGGGGGGGCCGGGGACGCGTTGGAATAAGAAGAGGCGCGCCGTAAAATCTGGGGAGATATCGTGGCCCCCGCCATGATATCCACCCCCTCTAGTCGTCACCCCCCTCTTGGCCGCTCCAAAGAAGAGAGGAAGGAGGGACGGAGGCAAGATCGGGATAACATCGGATCGGCATGAACTGTCCTCCTCCTCCTCCTCCTCCCCCTCCTCCTCCTCCTCCTCCTCCTCCTCCTCCTCCTCCCCCTCCTCCTCCTCTTCCTCCTCCTCCTCCTCCTTGGGATCTCTGAGATCCGACGGTTTCGAGAGGTCGGCCATGGGGGGGTCGAGAGAAAAAAAAGAGGGCCCACCTTCGAGGTCTACAACGGAGGCAGGGCCAGGCAGGGCCGGACCGGGACAGCTCGGGGCTCTCTGGGATGTAGCGGTTCTGGAGGATGCGTCGGGCGCCGCTGCCAACTCATAGCGTTCCCGAAAGGTGTGAGAGCGTTCTGGAATGCTCTGGAGCGATGATCCCGATACTGAATCCCTTCTCCACCTTCACCTCCTCCTCATCCTCCTCCTCCCCCTCCTCCTCCCCCTCCCTCCTCCTCTTACTCCTCCTCCCCCTCCACCTCCTCCTCTTCCTCCTCCCGTTCACTCAACTCCGCCTCCTGGTCGCGCTCCTGCGTCCTTCTCCACCACTGCCCCCCGCGAGCGCAAGGGGAGAGGAAAGGACGGGGAGACGGAGGCGGAGGAGGGGAGACGCTTCGCTGCCCTTAGAAGGGGATGGAGTTCGTCAGGACGGCAAAGTGGCTGTGTATAGATATAACCATATGCTTAGATATGCATATGCAACTGTATATACGTGCGTATGTATGTATGCATGTATGCATGCATGTATGTATGCTGGTATGTGTAAATGAATGGATGGATGAATGGCTAGATGTATTGATGTATCTGTGTATGACTGTATATGAATATGCATGCATGCAGGCAGATAAGTATGTACGGGTGTGTATGTATGCAGGTGTGTATGTATGTAGGTAGGTCAATCGTTATGTAGCGGCGTCGGTACTTGTGTATACGTGCATATGTGTATGGATGGATGGATGCATGCATGTATTCATGTATGTATGTGTGTATACGCATGCATGAATGCATGGATGTACGTCTGTATGCGATCGTGTATGTGCGCATGCGTGTTTGCATGCATGCATGCATGCATGCATGTATGCATGCATACATGCATGCGTATGCGTATGCATGTATGCATGTATGCATGTATGTCTGCATGTCTGCATGTATGTGCGGATGCATGGATGCATGCATGTATGTATATGTGGGCAGGTAGGTATGTATGCATGTAGGTCTATGAGCGAATATGCATGTGTTTGTATGTGTATGTATGCTTTCGTGTATGCATGGATGGATTGATGGATGCATGTATTCACGTGTGCGTGTGGCTGTATACCAAACAGTGTATACATATTTACATATGTACACGTGTATGTTAGCCTGCATGCCTGAATGTACATATGTATGCATGCATGTACGTGTTGCTTGCATGCATGTGTATGTATGTATGTATATATATATATATATAAGGAGCATGCGCCTGTAGACAAATGGAAATAGAGAGGGATGAATACATATAGAGAGAGAGATACAAACAGAGAGAGAGAGAGAAGCAGAGAGGTAATGACAAATAAGAAGTGGACGCGATCTGAGGAGAAGAGCGGGCACCCTTGGGAGGGGGAGTAGGAGGAGGAGGAGGAGGAGGAGGAGGAGGAGGACGGGAAACGATGATGAACGAGGAGGAAGAGAAGAATCCAGAGGAAGAAGCACGAAGGAAAATAATCCTGGGTCGATGTCTCTGGGCGATTTTGTCGATCGGGTCCTCCAGGAGCCTCCGGAGCGCAAGACCCACAAATCTCTGACGCCTGACCTGCAGGGACTTTCGGAGACCTCCACTAAGATTGGGGAGCTCTCTTGGACCATCTGCCCCAGTCTGCCCCATCGTTCCCTCTACGTGCGTCTCTCCTCCTCTGCCTCCTTTTTCTTATCTCACATCTCCCTCCCTCACTCTGCCCCATCGTTCCCTCTACGTACGCCTCTCCTCCCACCTCTCCCTCCCTTGCCATGCCTCTCCTCTACCTTCATCCCCTCTCACTCTACCCCTTCTCAACCTTACCTTCATGCCCCTCACTCTGCCTCCCTCTTTACCTTCATCCCTCTCCCTCCCTCCTTACCTTCATCCTCCCTCCTCCCTCCTCCCCCATCCCCCCTCACTCTGCCCCTTCTCACCCTCCCTGCCCGCCACCCTCTACCTTTCTCTCCGCCCTTCCCTCTTCCCCCCCTCCTCCCTCCCCCTCGTCCCCCCCCCTCCCAATCAATCGAGGTCCCTTGTGGGTCTTTGGGCGTGCGCGATTGCTTCCCTCCCTCCATCTTCTCTCCCTGAGGAACTCCAAACCAGGAATTCGACTCCCCCCCCCTACCCCCCCCACCTCCCTGGGCCCGGTCCGAACGCGGCATGCATCCCCCCCCCATCCCCGGCCGAACGCGGCATGCGGGGATAGAGGGCTCACCGACGACCCAAAAGGGCCCAAAGAAGCACCCAAGACGGTCTAAGAAGATCTCGAGTCGCTCAAGACGCCCAAGACGGCTCCGAGACGGCCCAAGATTCCCCCAAGACGCACCAAACTGTCTCCAAGGTCCCCAGCGAGGCCGCTGGTAGGCGTACTTAACTCGCAACACAGAGCCATGTAAAACATAGAATCTCGACCACCTGAGGTGGTGCAGTTTTCCGCCAGGGAATCGGACACTGAAGTATGGCTCGTATTTAGTCTGTCTGTCTATCTGTCTGGGTGTCTGTCTGTCTGTCTGTCTGTCTGTCTGTCTGTCTGTCTGTCTGTCTTCCATCTGCCCTTCAACCTTTCCTGGCATCTGCCAATCAAGGTTTGTTCAATGCGAGGTTCCAGAAGTCACGACCCCTTCACCCTGGCCAATTTTTCCCCCGGAACACACCGTCGGAAATCTGGGTCTCTCCTCCCGTCCTCCTGCCCCCCTCCTGCGACGAAACCAGGACATGCAATTACGAAATCGGCCAGGGATAAAGTGGGCATCTCTAAGACCTGGCGCTTCTCTGCAGGATCTTTCAGGCGTGCCGCGTCTTCTCGGAGCGTTCCTGAAAGCCCTGGAGCGATGCGTCCCGATCCCGAACCTGACTCAAGATCGATACTCATCCTCCCACTCCAGGAGGAGGAGGAGGAGGAGGAGGAGGAGGAGGAGGAAGAGGGAGCAAAACGCTGGAGCGCTGGAGGGATGCAGGCTCGGGGGGGACGCCATCGCGGAGGATAGCGTCCCCCCCCCCGGAGCATCCTTCTCCTCCTCCTCCTCCTCCTCCTCCTCCTCCTCCTCCTCCTCCTCCTCCCGTTGGTCCTCCTCCACCTCCTGATCGAGCTATGGAACGCTCTGGAACGATACATCTCATCCCTCCCTGCCCCTTTCCTCTGGACGCCCGAAAAGGGTGCGGAAGAGATGTGTGCGATGTCCAACAGCAACTGCGGTCCAAAAGCGACAGCGAACGCAGTTGGGCAAGCGGCCTTCTGTTTCAAATAAGCACCGTCCGCGGCGTCGCCGCCGACAGAAAGTCTTGTTCAAAATTAACAGGACTTTCTGTCGGGCTTGGTTCGGCGGCGAACCAGGGGGAAGTGAGAAGGAGAAGGCCTTCTCAGAAAGCTCCGAAATCCCCCAACCTTCTGAACAACTTCTGGGCCTTCCCCGAAGGCACGGAAAAAACTTCTCAGAAGGCCGGATCGCTTCTGAGAAGTCCCGCCGCCTTCTGAGAAGGCCTCCTTCTCACTTCCCCCCCTTGGGCGCGCCGACGAGTTCAGTTTTCGGGCCATGACTCGGGTCTCAGGACGATCCGGGCGTCCCCGAAACGCTCCCGGCGAGGCGCAGACGCTGGAACGCATCCCGAGGCCGCAAAACCGGCACGAAACCGCCCGAAAACCTCGAACCTCGATTCTCGACCTTCCCCCCCTCGCTCGCCGCCAATTTGGGCGCCCGAATTATCCGGGGTAACTCGGGTCCGGGGTAACTCGGGTTTGGATTCCCGGAAAAGGAACCCGAGTTAGCCCTGACCCGAGTTATCCCTGATGATTCGGGGCTCTGGGCGCCCGAGTTACCCCTGACGATTCGGGGCTCTGAGCCAATCCTCCAGCTGCAGCGCGCGCGGACTCGCTTCGGCGATCTCGGGGCGCCAGGACAGAGCTCGGCCGGTCTCCCTCGGACTCCGCGGCTCGACCCGGAGACGAGACAACCTCCGCTCCTTGTGCCCCGCTCCTCGTCTCGGCAGCCCGACCCTACCCCTCCCGGCGCCCCCTCACTCCAGGTCGATGTGCCTCCCTCAGCGCCCATCAAACGGGGACTCCACTAACGGGTACTTTGGCCAGTGACCCAGCGAACCCAACCCTTCCCGATGCGGGCAACGCTGCATTGCCAGAAAGAGGCCCTAAAGTGGCAACTTTCGGCAAAATTGCAAAGTACCCGTTAGTAAGTACCCGTTGCGGTGCCGTTGACTCCCCCCATCTCGGGGCCGCCGGCTTAGAGAAAGAGAAAGCGGCATAAACCTACACTTTTGGCGCTCCGCGCAGATTTCTCGGATCTGCGCTGGGCCCCTCGCCCTGGCGCGCTCGAGCGCGCCGGGGGCGGCGCCGGAGGCGCCGCCAGGGGGCCCCAGCGCAGACCCGGGGAATCCGCGCGGAGCGTTGAAAGTCTATGTTTCTGTGTTTTTCCCTTCTTTTGGAGGCCTGGAAATGGGCACACCAACACAGGGGGTTGCCTCCACAGGGGGAAGATGATCCTGGATTTCGGTGGTGGTGGTAAGAGTTCGGCCGCCTTGGAAGCCAGAATATTACCACCATCGCCGAGATCGGGATCGTCTTCCCTCGGTGGAGGCACACCGCCGACCGCCGATATTGGTGTTGGTGTCAATTTCTAGGCCTGCGATTCTTCCAGTCCCCCTATCTCGGGGCCGCCGATTTGCACCCATCGCCCCGATCTCCGCAAACGATCCGCGGCCGGCACCCGGCTGGGGCGCCAGCCAGGCACGCCCGCGGCGCCGGCGCTGCGTGCACGGGGAGCCGCGTTGCGGGTGCCACGCCGGAGAGGGGCAGGCCGACCTGGCTCCAGGGGAGCCCAGAATCGAATCGAGAAGTCGGATCGGCGACCGAAATCAATCGGATCGGCGGAAATCGGCAGCCGAATCGGGAGACGTCGAGAATCGGCAGGCTAGTAGGCCCCAGTTGGAAAATCGGAACCCAACTCGGAATTCGAAATCGAATCGAATCCGAATCGGAAGCCATCGAAATCGGATCGGATCGAATCTGAGGAATCATATTGAGCCCTGTTAGGTCTGGCCGGGAGAGGGCCCAGACTTGGCGGCGTACCCAGGGGGGGACACAGTAAGGCGAAGCCAAGACGAAGATAACATCGGGTAAGGATACATCGAGAATCTCTGAGATCCGGCCGATCTGGAAAAGCCTCGGGCACAGCGGCCTTCTCTTAGCGTTCCGGAACGCTCTGAGAGCGTTCCAAAACGCTCTGGAACGAATTTCTCCTCGCCCTAGCCCCGCCAGGCGTAGGTCTGCGACCCCTTGCGAACCTTACGGCAAGTTCGTGCGGCGACGACGTCGCCGTCACCCTGTGGATCGTTCAACTTTGAACGATCGCGGCTTCTCGGGTCGGGCGACAGGGGGGGATAGCAAAGGGGGGCTAGCTGATTTTCGCGGCGCCTCCCGGCGCCGGGAGGCGCCCATGTATCGAGGAATGGGCCCGGCGGCGGGGCCGAAACCAGCTGCATGCAGCAAATTTCGTACCCCCCCCTTTCCCAATTCCCCCCCTCTCGTCCGGCCCGAGCTTCCCGAGAGCGCAGATCAATCGACACCTGCTGGTTCTGGGCCACTGGCGGCCGGTTCTGGGTCACTGAGAATTGAGACCACCCCGTTTTTCTTGTGAACCACGGGGCCCAGCCGGCCTCCAGGAACCCTCCAATGAGCCCGACGGGGGCCCCAAGACCCCCAAGAGGAGCCCCAAGAGTGCCCCAAGAGGCCCCGGGGGGATCCCAAGAGAGCCCCTAAGATGGCCTGAAATCGTCCTTCAAGAACCTCTCACAAGAAAGTATCTCTGTAGCCCGACTTCTCATACTCCTTGTGATCGTACGTTCCGTCCCTCCTCCTTTCCTGCCTCCTCCTCCCTCCTCCTCCTCCTCCTCCTCCTCCGACAGACAGACTTCCAGGAGGTCTCAAGATGACCCAAGCTAGATGAGCATGGCCCAAGATAGCCTCCGACAGCCTCAAGCCGAGCATGGGTCAAAATAGCCTCCCGGAGGCCTCAAGGAAACCGCCGATGTCTGGATGGGCTGGTTGGGACATTGTTTTTTGGCTCGCGGTTCCAAGGCGAGGGACAAGGAGCGGGCACAACGTCCGGGGCGCGGAACGATGTAAAGTGGCCGGGCTGGTGGGGATACTCTTTTGGTTCGCGGCTCCAAGGCGAGGGACAAGGAGCGGGTCAACGTCTGGGGCGCGGAACGAAGATAATTGGCCGCAGTAGCGAATGCACGTGCCAGGGGCAAAATGACCCTCATTGAGACGCAGACGGCGTCGGCAAGTGACCGGCACAGACATCCCAGCAGGTGGGGACGCAGAGGCGCGGCGACCGGCGGCGGAACGGAGGGGAAGAGTCGCCCTTTCGGCGCCAAGCTCCAGCCGAACCACATACGGAGGCGGGGCCCAGACGGCCGGCGCGTCACACAAAGAGGGTCCGAATGGCCACTGGCAAAGCGAAGCCAACGAGCGTGCACACAGGTACGGGCCGCCCAAGACCACAGCAGGGGGGAGGGGGAGGGCGCAAAAGCGAGCGACAACCAAAGGCTCACTGCAGCGCAACGAGGAAACGATAGTGCGGCAAAAAAGGGCCTGACTCATCATGGCTCACTGATGCTGGGGAGTAGCTGAAACCCGTCAGAGCGCCATCCAGTAGAGGAAGACCACTGGTGTGCGCTCACGAGGCTGAGCCACTTCCAGCCGGTAGCCAGTGCGTGCACATCGCATCTGGCTCTCGCGGTTCGGGGGCAAAACGATGCAATGTAGGGGGGCGACCCCGAACTGCAGAAGGCTGAACCACTCGATGCAGGGCCACACCCTGGCGAAGCCAGACATCGGGTGTCACCGAATGTATGGCTGACGGCCGCGCCCAATCCACACCTGTCACGCAGCCAGGGCGGAAGCCGAGCACACCGACGCCAGTGGGGAGCCGATGGCTGGCGGTTGCCGAGCTGCTGGGCTGTGACGCTCGTAGGCGGCATGCTGACGGCGGGCCAAGACGTCCTTGCGGTAGGCCTTGACCGGGTCAGCAACGCACCAGGGCGAAACTCAGGCAGGAGGGGGGCGTGGCCACCTGCTGAGCACCGGTGTCAATGAGGGATGGCGGGGCACCATCCAACAAACGACCACTGGTGTGCGTGCGCAAGGCTGGCAACCACCAGCCGGTAGCCAGTGCACTTACAACGTATCCGGCTCACGCGGTCCGGGGGCACAACGATGCAATGTCCTGGCGGGGGCAGGGGCTGCGGCTGCGCCGAGAAGAGCCAAGCGGACTTGGACCGCGAAAGGCTGCACCACTCGATGCGGGGCCGCTCATTCGACGAAGCCAGTGACCATGTGCATGGTGGACAGCCTCCCCACTCATCACCTGCCACGCTCCCCCTGCGGAAGTCGGATGCGTCCGACGCCGGGGCATGCAGGTGGCTGGCAGCTGCCGCGCTGCTGGGCTATACCGTTCGCTGGCGGTGTGCAGAGTTGCCAAGGCGTCCTCGCGGTGGAACCAAGGCTGGGTCGGCGCTGATACTCCCTGGGCAGGTCCCAATGCGGGCGCTCTTCATCGGTCGATGCAATCTACGCTGTTCATCGGGGGGGGGGGGGGGGGCGCAGCCGAAAGCCGCAGAAACGTTGTGATAGAGAGGAGCAGGAGGGGGCGCAGCCAAAAGCTGCTGGACACAGATAGAGATACCCTGGGCCTCCATGCACAGAACTTCTTGACCGCGGGCGTGCTGACATGCCAAGGCGTCCTTGTAGCAGGACAGTGGCTGGGTTGGCAACGAGGGACCGACGCGCCCTGGGCAGGTCACAGGGCGAGCGCGCAACAGCGACCGCGGCAATCTTCGCAGTTGAACGGGGGGGGCGCAGCCGAAAGCCGCAGAGACGCTGCGAATGAAGGAGGAGAAGGAGGAGGAGGAGGGGGCGCCGCCAAAGCCCGGGACACGGAGACTGGGCCACTCGATGCGGGGCAGCACGACGAAGCCAGATATGTGAATGGAGGACCGCCGCCTCCACTCAACACCTGCCACGCTGCCCATGTAGCAGCCGGCCGCCTCCGACGCCAGGGCATGCAGGATGCTGGCAGCTGCCGAGCTGCTGGGCTGCATCGATTGCTGTCTGCGTGCTGACGTGCCAAGGCGGTCTCTGAAGAAACATAGCTGGGTCGGCAGACCGATGCGCCCTGGGCAGGTCTCAGGGCGGACGCTCATCTGCGCCCGATGCAATCTCGGCAGTCCTCGGGGGGGGGGCGCAGCCGAAAGCCGCAGAAATGTTGTGGAGCCCATGCTCAGAACTTCACGACCACGGGGGAGCGGGCTGAGCGAGGGCGGTGCGGTGGGCAATGTCGTTCACCAACTGCTGCCGTTTACTGTGCTGTAAAAGAGGTGGAGAGCAGGAGGTGGGTTATCGCCAAAAGTGGGCTGCCCTGGGAGGGCGGCACAGACGACCCCAGGGCCCGCGCTGGCAGCGGCCTCCACCGAGGGAGGCAGTGGCCGCAGTCCCGCGCGGCAGTCGTCCGCAGGGATGGAAGGGCCTGGCAAGGTCCACGACTCCAGCGTGGGCTGTCTATGCGTGCAGCGCAAGGGCATGCATTGGTGCCCCACCGCCCCCGCGGGGGTAGCACGGGGCATTGCCGCCAAGGCCGGGCGCTGCAAGGTCCACGAGTCCAGCGTGGGCCGTCTATCAGCGCAGCGCAAGAGTGTTGGCGCCCCTCCGCCCCGTCGGAGGTAACGCAAGGCATTGCGGCCGAGGCCGGGCGCTGCAGGTGAAACTGTCTGGGGATGGGGGGGGGGGGCGCGGCAAATGCCGGGCGGAGAGGAGCAAAGGTGGGGAAAGAGGTGGCGTGTGCTGCACGTAGCAGGCAGCGCGATAGGTGGTGGGCCGTGGCAAGCACTGGCGCGCTCCTTCGCCAGCTGGGGAGGATGGGCCAGTCTCGCACGGGTCCCTCGCTGCGCCCCCGCCATCTGGGTCAGGAGTCCCAACCTCGTGGGCGCTTGTCGGCGCGCGGGTGATCTCCTCTTGGGGAATAGCGCTTGCCCTTCGCCTTCCAGTCCTCGTCGGTCCATGACGCACCTTGGTGCCCCCACGCGTCCCATGACTGCCATCCACGCCGCGACGAGGCCGAGCTAGATGCACCGGTCCACTGATCTGGCGGGGCCGCGCGCGCCGCCCCCTTGCCCGCTGTGGTCCAGGGGGGTGGGCGGCCACTGCTGTCGACTCCGCGAGCGGCGTGCGGTCTGGCGTCGCGTTGCAGGAGCCTACGGTGTCGATCCTTGACAATCGACCAGCCGACGTGGACTTTGAACTCTCTATCCATCTTATAGGCATCGAATTCCGCTTCGCTCCATGCCTGGAGGAAATCGCTGCGCTGCTGTACTGAGTTGAGCTTGGGATCAAGCTTGGTGCAGCGGCCCCCTTGCCTCGAGGCTGCCCTCTTGACCCAGGCGCCCCAGACTCCGTTGAACGCACCTCCCAACGTCTTCTTCAGCCGTGAGGTCTTGTCTGGTGCCGGCTCGTCCCTTGAGACGTCTGCTTTGTCAACTGGACACATGTGCATGGGGATGCCTCCCATGGGATCGTCAGAATGTTCTGCGCGGGTGTCTGCGTTCTCCGCGTGTCGTTCCAGGAGCCCTGGGTGGCGCGCAGTAGCCGAGAGACGTCGCATGGGGGTGGGGTTGCCGAGCGTTCCCCAGCTCTGTTCTCATCAATCGCAGGTGGTAGCCGGCTACCTTCGCCATCCGCATATCTCAGAGACCTGTTGTCCCAGGCGTCGTTCAGGCTCCGGATCCGCTCATCCCTGCTACGAA